TTGTCATTGTCAAATGAGTAGACATCACTAAATTGTCAGCTCTCTTACACAACCAACAACGCTTCCTATTTCAAAGTGGGTTTGCTCAAAGACGTCCACAGAGATTTCTCTCTTCTGAGAGTTCTCAGCTATTTAGCAGAGCAGAAACAAGGAACTCAGCCCCTTTCAGGGGTCTGCTGCACACAATGTGGCATTAAAGAGCACTTATTTAGGAGTCCTACAACATGAGTTATAATGCTGTTGGCCAAGCGTAACAGAAAGTCAGAGCAAGGATGGCGTAAACAACTAAGTGGTTTCCTTTCTCTTGTGTTTCAAAAGGCAGCTGTTGTCAGCTGCTAATACATGCCATGAGGAACCAAGGCTCTTTCTGTTACTGCTCTTCCATTCTTAGCAGGCTGGCTTGGAGCTTCATGGTCACAAGAGGGCTGCAGCAGCTCCATACATCCCATCCGTATTCAGGGCAGGAAAGGGGACTGGGCAAAGAGCAGTACCAGCTGGGTCTGGCATTTAGGTCTCATTGTGCAATCTTGAGACCCCCGCTGCAAAGTAGATCCGTGGCTCTGAGTACATTGCTGCCCAGAACAAAACAGAGATTCTATTGGCAAGAAGGATGGTCAATAGAGGGTGGGCAACTGGAGTCTCTGCCTTAAGGGTTTGGGTTCTAACTCCTGGGCCTCAGTTTCCTTCTTGTAAACCATGTATACACTGGACATGTGTCAGGAGGGACCAGTTCAGAGACTAGTCCAGAGATATCATGCTTGGTAAAGTGTGAGGTCAGCAAAAAAGAGAAAGACCCACAACAAGATGGGTTTGCACCGTAGCAGCAGCAATGGGCTCAAGGTTAACAGTGATTGTGAGGATGGTGCATTCTAGACAGAGTTTCATTCTGTTGTACAGAGAGTTGCTGTGAATCGGAACCGACTCAAGGGCACCAGATAGAACTATGAGTTGGAATCGACTCAATGGCAGTAGTTGGAAGACTATAGTGAGGATTAAATGAGATAATATGAGATAATGTGTTTAATGGGGTTATTACGGGTCTAAAAGCAAGGGCTATCCCCTGGGGGTAGGTTCAGGTGGCTGAATACACCCAGAAGAACCCCTAGCCCACCATTGGCTTACAGAGAAGTTTGGGGGCAGGCAGAAGAAAGAGTATCAGAAGGTTTAGGAAGGTTCCAGCATGTACAGAGGCCTTGGGGAGAAGAGGCTGTGAATGTGGGTTTGAGGAAATGAGAGTCCAGTGTGAGGGTAGAGATGTGAGTGGAGAAGGAGAGAGGGAGGCTGGAGTGTGACCGTCCTGGGGGTTGAGAGGTTTTCTGAGAAAGGTCTTGCATTTATCCTGAGACCCAGGAAGAGCAGGAATAGAACGAGGTCTGCACTTGGGGATGGAGCCCCAGAGAGAACACGTCAGAGGCTCCAGTGGACTCTGGTGGACTACAGGAGCTGTCCAGCTGTTTTGAAACTCCAGACGGAATGGAGGGTAGGGTCTAGCTCACCCACGTGCTTCTGTCATGTGTGTGGGTTTTAACATTTACTTTTTGTTTCAGAAGAGAAGTCATTTGAAAAACATAATGACTTTGAGCTAAAACAAGAAAAGCCAGGGACTTCCCCGTGGGCCCTTTCAGAAGGGTGGGGTTCTTGGGAGGATGGGGAGTTGCTTGAGAACTTCAGAATGTTGGGGAGAGGGTCAAAGTGGGCATTGAAGGAAGCTGGGGGCCCTGGGGGAGCAGAAAGTGGAAACCCAGAACATTTCATTGTCTGGAGAATGGGGAGCTGTTATGTCAAAATAGGTGTCAACTTGGTTAGGTCATAATTCTCAGTATTAGGGAATCATCCTTCATTTTGTGATGTGATGTAACTACCCAATGGGCTCCAAAGCCTCCCCTCTCTGAGTTCATGAGGCAGGATGAGAGACAGTTATTGCCAATGAGGTCGGATGCAATCTACAGAATTAGACTGTATTTAAATCAATATCTTTTAAATTAGGAAAGAGATTAAGCAAGTGAGCAGAGCTTAAAGGGAATCTTGGTGTGGTACTGCAAGATAAGCACTGGGCTGCTAATCACAAGATTGGTGGTTCAAACCCATCAGCCACTCCTCAGAGACCCTAAGAAGGTTGCTATGTGTTGGAACTAACTCAACGGCACTTAACAACAACAACAACAACAACCCTACCACCAAAAAAGAAGACTTAGGGACGAAACGTACTCTTGGAACTCGGGGTCCCTGGACTGTGACCCTCCTATGTCCAGAGGAAGGTTGATATCAAGATGCATGAAGCTCTCCAAGAGACGCCATGTTGGAGACATCAATGTTGAAAGAATACAAAGACCTTCTCCAGAGTCAACAGAGAGAGAAAGCTTTTCCCTGGATCTGGCATCTGGCATGGAAACTTCTAAATGGTCAGAGGATAAATTTCTGTTTGTTAAAGTCATCCCCTTGTGGGATTTCTGTTCTAGCAGCATTAGAGAACTAAGACAGGGGGCTTCTGTGTCATCACTGATGAGGTTATATATTGCTAAAGAGTCAGCCCCCTGAGGGCAAGGTCTCTTGGCGACCAGTGGGTCTCTGCTTCTAGAACAGTGCTTGGCATGGAATAGGTGCTCCATGAATACGTGTTGAATGAATGAATGAAAAGTTTAGGCACAAAAGAATCATTTTCTGGAGGAGTGGGAAACCTAAAGCTTCTTATTGTTGTTAAGTGCCATCCAGTCAATTTAGACTCATAGCGGCCCTGTGTAGGGTCTCTGAGGAGCAGCTGGTGGCTTGGAGCCGTCCACACACCTACAGCCATACACCAGGAGTCCTTGTAAAGGAACATTTACATGGGACTAGGAGCCCAGGTGGTATCGTGGTAAAAGGCTCAGCTGCTAGCTGAAAAGTTCTGGTGGTGGTGATGATGTTCCATGGAGTTGGTTCTGATCCATAGCAACCCTGCGTAGCGTTTCTGAGTCTGTAAATCTTTACGGGAGCAGAAAACCTCATCTTTCTCTCATGGAACAGCTGGTAATTTTGAACTGCTGACTGAGAGGTTAGCACTGCTGTGGCACTGTGGGTTAATGTGCTGGACTGTAAGGTCAGTTTGAACCTCAAGGTTGGCGGTTCAAGCTCACAAGCCACTCCTTGGAAACCCTAAATAGGGCCGCTATGGGTTAGAACCGACTCGACAGCACTTAACAACAACAACAGAGGGCCTTAACTAAAAGACAGGAGGATTGAATCCACTGACAGCTCCATTGCATAAATGCCTTTAATCCCTACAATAGCCCCATCTCTCTTTATAAGAAATTCACCTTTGCTGAGTGCCTGCTGAGTCTGATATGGTTTCCTTATACTGTTGGGACACTTTTCTGTGGTTTCTAATAATAAAGGTTGGGGTTTCTGGCTGCCAAACACCCATAGCCCCAAATTTCAGTCAGGCTCTTAGCTTCCATTTGGGAACAAACGCCTCCATCCTAGACATACGGTTTATATGAAGTTGCTTCCATTTCTTGCTCCAGAGTGACGTGTGCTCTAATCAGAACACAGAATCCCCATGGCAAGTATGACTGGTGAAATGGACCACTCAGGACCCAAGCTAGTCCAGTCAGAGGTCTGATGAAAGTCAACTTTAATTAGAACTTTGCTTGGGGCAAAGACATTTGCTGTTTTGTTGGGGTTTTTTTACCCCCTGAACTTGAACCTGGAAGGATGAAACCCTGAGAGTTATGTGCCTCAGGATGAAACCAGCCAACAGAAGGGAGAGCCAAGAAAAACAGAACGTGAGTTATAATAACACCGTTTGAGCCCCTTGGTCAAACTGTACCTGAAGTCAAATTTCCAAAATTGAATCAATACATTTATTTTCTTCTTAAGCGGGTTGAATTGGGTTGCTTATTTGCAGTAGCAAAGTCCTGACTGGTAGGATATGAAGGTTTGAAGATTCCCACAGATAAATGCAGTTCAGGGTCTTGTGACTGGAGATGGCAGGGGTCAGCTGGATGCAGCCTCCTAATTGTCTGGGCAGATACTCACAGAGATTGAGAGAATTTTGTCTTGTGTCACCCCCAGAAAGGAGAACCAAGACCAGAGAAACAGACCTCTGAGAAACTCAATTCAAGTAAAAAGAACAACTTTCAGACAAGCAGGACCAGAAATATTACAGCAGAGCACCTCAGGAGGGAGTAAGATCCCCATCCATAAAGGTATGCAAGTGATGACCAGCAACCTTCTGGTCCCAAGTTTCCAGAAAGGGTTCAAGTGTTGGGTGGGATTAGACTAAATGTGCACGAGGCAGATAGTACTGACTGCAGTAATGTGGCAGGGGCATATTGGGTCCTGGGGCCCCCTTCTTTCCCTTGTGAAGGCGGGAGCATGAGGTGTCGGGGTGCAGTGCCTGCAAATTCACACCAGCCTCCAGCGCAGAGAAGACATCAATGAAGCTCAGCAGCCAGCATTGTAGTTGTGGTACCACGGGCTTTGGGTAGGGCTCTGGAAGACCAGAGTCATCTGACTGGGAGGGCTGGGTGTATAAACCTGGAAGGGAGATAGCAGGGTGAGAATTGGGGGACAATTCGCTTGTGTCTTTCCTGGCTCCTGGCTCATCCCCACCTTCCCCCAGAGCCACCTTTCCTGCTTTTCTCCCCACCAAACCTTTAAGCGAGAGTTAAACAGTCCATCTCTCTCTCTCCTGTCCCCATCATAGGTGCTGCCTTGTCTCTTGGATTCCCTGGAGTGAGGGACCACGGCACCTTCTCCATTCCCTGTCCTCCCCTCATACACAGGTGGTCAGAGGGGGTGCTCAGGGATGCCTGATACTTCGTCTCAAGCAAGTTCATACCCTTCCCCATGCCTTGGGCCTTCCTTCAGGGAAATGGGTTCCTCAGAGAGGAATTGGCTCAGGCAGGGTGCTCTATCCCACCCGATTCTGACCTAAAGTCCATTCCCAGGGCACCGCAAGTCCCTGCTCAGTGACTGTGTACCCCTCGAAGTTGGGGGAACACGGCAGGGAAGAGGCTCTTACCCCTAGAGGATACTGCAGCCTTTCTTCTGTGTCCGCGTGGGTTGGGGGCATAGGACAGCCCTGATAGCCTCATCGAAGACAGTTTTCAGGCCCCGCTGGGTGAGGGCTGAACACTCTAGGTACTTCACCGAGTCTGGGATGGGGCAACAGGAGAGCAGAGGTCAGGAGGTGGGGTGGAGATCCCTGGGCAAAAAACCCTTGCAAGAGCCAGGCTGTGGTATCACATATTGTGTCCCAGTCCTAACGGTGCCACCTGGGAGCTGGACCACCCTAGCAGAATACCTGCCTCTGTGTCTCATGTCTAAAGTAACCTGTTAGCACGGCAAGCTGATTCAGTCTGAGGAGTTCAATTGGAGAGAAGACCCCTCAGGGTCTTGGGCATGTGAGTCATTGATTTGGAAAAGGCAGGCAGCAATTCCTGGTGTGGAGCTATAGGATAAGCCCTGGACTGCTAACCGCAAAGTTGGCAGTTCAAAGCCACCAGTCGCTCCTTAGACACCCCATACAGGGCCACCATGAGTCAGAAACAACTGGATGGCACCTAACAACAACTAGGAAAAAAAGGGCTCAAGATCCACTGGCTCATCATCTCGGTACTGCGCTGTCTTCTAGAAGCAACCAAATCTGTGGCTCTCTGTTTTCCCAGGGTGCAAATCATCCTCAGGGGACTTAAGGCTCTCATGGCCTCAACAACAACAACAACAAAATCATCCTGATTCCTGGCAACTCCCGGCATTACAGAGTGTAATTGTTCCATAGAGTTTTCTTTAACTGCAATCGTTACAGAAGCAGATAGCCAAACTTTTCTTTCATGGTGCCACTGGGTGGCACTTTATGTTAGTTGTTGTTGTTGTTGTTAAGTGCCGCCAAGTCATTTCCGACCCATAGTGACCCTGTACAGGGTTTCCAATGCTGTAAATCTTGATGGGAGTAGAAAGCCTCATCTTTCTCCCGCAAGGCAGCTGGTAGTTTTGAACTGCTGACCTTAAGTTTCGCAGCCTGATTCGTAACCACTACGCTACCAGAGTTGTTGTTAAGTGGCATAAAGTCGGTTTCTACTTATACAGACCCTGTGTAGGGTTTCTGAGGAGCAGCTAGTGGGTTTGAAGCCTCAACTTGGTGAGTCAAAGAGACCTTTCGGTCCAGGGCATTTTCCTATAACGCCACAGTAGTTGAGAGCAAACCCTTTGTGCAGCCCAGGAACCCAACAGCCCACACACCAAGAACTTACAACTATCATCTCATCAAACCTCAGTCTCTGCCCCATTTTGCAGATGAGGAAACTGAGGATCCAAGAAAATTGTCCTAGCTCACACACTTTCCCCTGGGGACCCAGGGGCCCTCAGTGAGGGGAATGGGAACTGGAGATCAGCCTTCCCTTTCCCTCCCCACCCCGTGACCATCCAGGCAGTGAGAGGCAGGCTGAGCCCCCCACCTGGGGCAGTCAATGCTATTTCAGTGTTCCATGACGCTCTGGGAGGAACCTGTGTGACTTCCCTATGTCTACTACAACCCAGTTTCCCTGAAGTGAGAAACGGTAAAACCCCTCTGCCAAGAGGCCTGGAGGCTTAGGGGCCGATTTCAGAAACTAGAGGAAGAGAAGGAGGAAGTTGCTATTCTGGGGTGGACACTCATCAGCACCTGCTCCAGATGGACACTATGATCCCCAGGTTACAGATGAGCAAACAGGCCCAGAAAGGGAAAGCCTTGGCCCAAAGACACACAGACTGGGCAAGAGAGCCAGGATCACAGACCAGTGGGGAGGGAAGACCCTGGACTAGTAAGACCCACCTATGCCCTGGGCATCAATTTGATATGTGGAATGCACAGGGCAGGGGCAGAGACCCCAAGGTTGCTGGGCAGCCCCTCCCATAAGCTTCTGTGCTATGGAAGTGTCACTCACTGGGCCCTTGGCCACTGTCTCCTACAAGGGACCAGAAGCCATGGCTACCTTACTGATACCCCCACTCACTCCTGCCTGGAACCTGCCTCTCCTCACAACCCCAGTGGCTCAGTGTTGTCCAGAACAAGATCTCTTTAGCTCAGCCTCTGACCCACTCTGGAACTTTGGCCAGTCACCCTCTCTGGGTTTCAGTCTCCCTACCTGTCTAGAACATGCTGACATGAGATGGCTCAGCCAGGACACTGGGGGCTGCAGAGGTGTGGGCTTGGGGGCCATGACCCTGATTCTCCTGGTTTCGAGATCAAGTGTCCCAGGTTTGAAATCTTGTTGGGTGGCCTTGAACCAGTGACTTCTGCCTGAACCTCAGTTTCCCCATCCATAAAGTGGGGGTGGTTTAAAATCAGGAAAAAAGTGCACCAGGGTTGTATCCTTCCACCATACTTATTCAATCTGTATGCTGAGCAAATCATCTGGGAAGCTGGATTATATGAAGAATACAGTGTCAGGATTGGAGGAAGACTCATTAACAACCTGTATATGACACAACTGCTGAAAGCAAAGAGGATTTGAAGTATGTACTGATGACGATCACAAACTACAGTATGGATGATACCTCAACACAAAAAAAAACAAATCTCCACAATTGGACCAATTAGCAACATCATGATAAATGGAGCAAAAATTGAAGTTGTGAAGGATCTCATTTTCCTTAGATCCATAGCCAATACTCGTGGAAGCAACAGTCAAGAAAGCGATCGACATATTGCATTGGGCAAACTGCTGCAAAAGGCCTTTGAAAGTGTTTAAGAACTGCGCTGTCTTAAAGTGTTTAAAACCAAGTTGTCACTTTGAGCACTAAGATGCATCTGATCCAGCCATGATATTTTCATTTGCCTCATATGCCTGTGAAAGCTGAACAATGAATAAGAAAGCCTGAGGAGCTGATGTCTTTGAATCATGGTGTTGGCAGAAAATACTGAATGTACCATGGACTGCCTGAAGAACAAACAAATCTGTCTTAAAAGAAGTTCAGTCAGAATGCGTCTCAGAAGCGAGGCTAGTGAGACTTTGGACATGTTACCAGGGCATCATGTTTGGTAAAGTAAAGGGTCAGGGAAACAGAGAAGGATCTTCAACGAGATGGCTTGACACAGTGGCTGCCTCAGTGGGAGTTAACATAGTAACAGTTGTGAGGATGGGGCAGGGTCAGGCAAGCTTTCCTGCTGTTGCCCATAGGGTCACTATGAGTCAGAACTGAGTTGCCAGCACCTAACAACAACAAAATATGTGTGGAGGTAGGGCAAAGGGATGGCAGTTCCTCCCTTATAGCAAGAGCAGGAAGAATGATCATCCAAGAAGTACTTAACATCTGGCCAGCCATAACCATTCTCTGGAGAGAGGACTGGGGGACAAAGGTAGCCAATGACCTCTTTATCTGCCCCACAGGGTCCCAAGGCTTCCTTCTTGGCCTTGGCTTGTCTGAGGTTAGTTCAAAATCAGGGTGTGCCGCACACCTGGTGTCAGTTATCAAGAAGGGTTGGCAAGAGACCCTGAAGCCATCTCCTTAGAGAGGAAGAGGTCTGTGGGGACTGTCCAGGTGTGCAGATCCAGAGACTGAGGTCGCACAGGGGAAGCCATCAGCCATAGAGCCAGTCAGTGCTGGAGCAAGGAATAGAAGCCAGATTTCTAAGGCCCTTCTAGCTATCCCAACACAACAGCAGGGACACAGTGAGCATCAGCTGAGGCCCCTGGGGACGATGACTTTGTCACAGGGTTAGTCACAGGAAGGAGTGAGGTGGTGGCTGCGGTTTTCCCTTCCTGTGAAGAGATATGTAAGTCTCTGGGGGGGAGGGGGCAACACTTCCGGTGGGAGGAAGAAAGGCGGGCAGAGGCAGGGAAGGTAGGGAGGCCGCAGGATTCAGGGCCAAACTCTGCAATGGCAGGCATCTGTGTTGAGGCAGGGTCCCTGCAGATGGGTCTCACTCACAATAGTCATGCCTGGTGGCCCGGGCTCCTGGGCAAACTCTACCCCATCCCTTGGCTGTGTGGCTCTTTGGAGTCTGACCAGGGACAGAGATGGAGGTCCAGGTCCATCTGTCATCAACTTCCTGGTGCAGGCTGAGCCACTACAAGGAGGCCCTCAAGCCAGCAACTTGAGGTCCTGTGTTCAAATCCCAGTCCTGCCACCTACTAGCTGTGAAAGCTTTCAAAGTCACTTCCCTTCTGAAGGTAGAGAGGAGATGGGCTGAGAAGCTGGGGTGGGGGTATGGGGAACGACTGGGATAAGGAGGAGCAAGCGATTGCAGCATCCTTCAACCCCAGCCCTGGGGCACCTCCTCCAGGAAGCCTGCCAGGAGAACCCAAGTTTGACTTGGCTGCTTGTCCTTCTGAGCAACCCCAGCATTCCCCACTCTGCCCCTGCTTCTGTGTGCTTGAAAAGCATCCCTTTCATTTCAGTGTCTATCTCTGGGTAATGATAATAAGAGCCACTAACGAGAGTTTTCTGTGTAGTCTCTGTCCTTGAACTTGGGCGGTATTCACTTATTTCATTCTCCCAACCATCGTATGAGGTAAGAACTGTGATGACTGATCACCACATCTTGTGGATGAGGAAAGAGGCACAGAGAGGACCCACAGTCACACAGGTAGGACATGGCCCAGTTGGGGTCTGCACCGTACAGCCTGGTCCCAAAGCCCATGCTCATAACCTTCACGAGGCTGAGTCAGGGTCTCCCCCACACCCAGGTCCCCCTTAGAGCCCAAGTCCATTACCAATCTCCTTGGCCAGCGCCAGGCCTTGTGGGTAGGTGATGGGGGCCAATTTCTTCTCCTTCAGTTTCTCGATGGTATCCTTGTCGTCCCGCAGATCCAGCTTGGTGCCCACCAGGATGATGGGAGTACTGGGACAGTGGTGCCGCACCTCGGGGAACCACTGGGCAAGGGGCACAAGGGGGCATAGGGAGGAGAGGGCAGGAGACGGGGGTCATGAGATTGTGGAGAGAGGGGGGAGCATGAGGTTTCCAGGAAAGAGGAGGAAGATAGGTGGCCAGCATGAGGGTTTGTGGAGATAAGAGGTGGGCACAAGGTTGTGCAGACAAAAGAGTGGGCATGACAAGAGAGGGGAGACAGAAGGCATGTGAGGGGGGCAGGGGACACAGGTTATGGGGTCAGAGAGCAGTTCCCCTCTGAGACATTGCCCTCCCTAAGTACCCCCACAGCTTTGGGTGACACTGAAGTCTCCCTACCTGTACCCCTAATCCCCAGGTGCAGGGCTGAAGTCACTGGTCCCTCCCTCCTCTAAGGCACCCTGCCCCTCCCCCACCCTGTCCATGTCTCCTATGCCCCCACTCTGCCCAGCTCACCTTGGCACGGACATTCTCATAAGAGGCTGGGCTGACGAGAGAGAAGCAGATGAGAAAGACGTCCTGGGAACAAAGCAGCCAATGGTATGTTGAGGGAGACGGGAGTTGTCCCACCTGAGCTCCTCCCATACCTGGGCAGACCCTGAGGAGCAGAACAGCCCAGGAGAAAGCTGGGGAAGTAAAGTTTGAGCAGAGCGGAAGATGCTCTCTCCACTTCAGCTAACAAGCTACTGTTTATGTTTTAAGCCAACACCTTCTATGGGCCAGATTCTAATCCTCAGACAGAGCTCTCGGAATCCTATGATGCCCATTCTACAAATAAGGAAAGTGAGGTTTACAAAGCTTAAAGGACTGGCCAAGGTGCACCCTAGTAAGAGAAGGAGCTGGGATTCCAGAATTCATACAGTGGTTAGGAGTCAGGCTGCTAACCTCAAGGTCAGGAGTTCGAAACCACCAGGTGTTCTGCAGAGAAAGATGAGGCTTTCTGCTTCCTTAAAGATTTACAGCCTTAGAAACCCTGTACAGGCTCGCTATGAGTTGGAGCTGACTCCACGGCACATAACAACAACAATATTGCATGGCCCCACCCATCAGTGAGAGCCAAAGGCCCTGAGCCATCTGCAGGCTTGCCACTCCCTTTCCCCTCAAAGTTCCCCTCCCCCAGTCCTCCCGGGTTACCTGTCTGGGGTCTACCTGTCTCACCTTCTGGGATCCAGGTGGGGCCAGAGGCCAGGAAGCAGAGTTGGAAAGACAGAACACAGTAGAGTGATAATGAAGGGGGTGGGGCCTTAATAAAAGGGGAAGTCTGGGTTTCCCCAGTCAATCTGACCTGAAGGATACTCCCAACAGAGGGTTAGGGAGAGCAAAGGTGGACAGCAAGGAGAGGGTGGGGCAGCCGGCATACCGTCTGGGGGTAGGAGAGTGGCCGGAGACGGTCGTAGTCTTCCTGTCCAGCTGTATCCCATAGTCCCAGGTTCACCGGCTTGCTGTCCACCATCACATTGGCTGAATAGTTGTCAAATCTGTGGCACACAGGCAAGACAGAAGGCGGGCTCAGTCTCCGGCTTCACAGCTCAGGCACCTCTGGTCCAGTCCCACCATGTCAGATGGCGGAGGCTGAGCCCAGAGAGGGGCAGCCACAGGATCAAAGTCACCCAGCATTGTGGAGCTGGGTTTTCTGTCACATTTTTATGATTCATTATATAAAAATGTAAACTGTAGCTAAACAAAAAGAGGAAAGCATTATCTCTGGGTAGTTCTTCTACCCTTAATTGTTCTTTGGAAAGGTGGTTTTTCAAAGCTGTTTAGCATCCCCCCTGGGACTGTACAGGTATCATCTCCTCATGTGGACACTTAGGTTGATCACTCAGAATTTATTAATGTTCACCCTGCCTCAGGTTGGATTCAGCCAAAATCAAATCTTATGTCAAGGAGAGGGTGGAAGTGGTTTGTTTGGGAGATAATCCCAGTAAGGTTGCTTGACAAAGTGGTAAATCAGAGAAAAAGAGGAAGACTCCCAACAAGCTGGATTGGTACAGGACAACAGCAACAGGCTCTGGAGCGGCAACTATTGTGAGGTTGGGACAGGACCAGGGAGTGTTTTGTTGTGTTGTGCATAATGTCGCTATGAGTCGGTACCAACTCAATGGCACCTAACAACAACAACCCAGTAAGATACAAGAGGGGAGTGGGAAAGAGACAGGGGCGAGACAACAGCCAATATTACTAAACAAACCAAGAGTTGCTGCTGGGTCAACAGTGACTCATGGTGATCCCATGTGTGTCAGAGTAGAACTGTGCTCCACACCATTTTCAAGGGCTGATTTTTCAAAAGTAGATTGCCAGGCCTTTCTTCAGCGACACCTCTGAGGACTCCTACCTTTGGGTTAACAGCTGAGTGTATGACTCATAAGCACCACTGAGAGTCTGATGCTGATTCTAGGTGTGTCAGTGAGCTGTTATCGCAAGGCACCTAGGACTCAGATCTGCTGGGGACACACAAGACAGCACACACCATGTCTTAGGGTGTCTTCATAGAGGCAAGTGAGCTGAGGTACATCTCCATCATCTCTCATTGGCAGAGGGTTACTCCTGGGCATTAACTCTCAGCCTTCCAACAAGCCCCAGAGCACAAAGGGAAAACTCTCAGTCATAGATGTTTTCAGGAATGCTCTGGTAGTGTAGTGGTTACAAATTGGGCTGCGAACCACAAGGTCAGCAGTTCGAAACTACCAACTGTTCCGCGAGAGAAAGATGACGCTTTCTGCTCCCGTAATGATTTACAGCCTCAAAAACCCTGTACAGGGTGGTTATAAGTCAGAACCAACTCCAAGGCACATAACAACAACAGACACACACTGAGGAAACCCATGGAGCACTGACTCAAACCAATCAAACTAGCTGGTGGCCTCCGACTCACAGCAACCTTGTAGTTGCATTCCATATCATGGCTGTAACTGTTTAGGAGCGGATCACCAGGCCTTTCTTTCAAGGAACCTTGGGTGGATTCGAACCATTAGCTTTTTGGTTAGTAATCAAACACTTAATTGTTTGTACCATTCATAAACTCTGAAACACAAATGTTTTGTTGTTGTTAGGTGCCGTTGAGCCCGTTCTGACTCATAGCGACCTTTGTACAACAGAAGGAAACACTGTCCAGTCCTGTTCCATCCTCACACGTGTTGTTGGTACACTTGAGCAAATTGTTTCTGCCACCATGCCAATCCGTCACCTTGGGATTCATCCTCTTCTCTGCTGACTCTCTGCTTTACCAAGAATGATGCCTCTCTCCAGGGATTGGCCCTTCTTGACAACACATCCAAAGAATGAGAGACAAAGTCTCTTCATCATTGTTTCCAAGGAGCAACCAGCCATACTTCTTCCAAGACAGATTTGTCTGTTCTCTTGGCAGTCTGTGGTACATTCACTGATGTCATCGTTGTTAAACACACCAGTATGTCTCATTCACTGAAAACGAAAGACAACGTCTTTCTGCCAGCACCAGAGACCAGGGCAAACATATAAGGTTATGGGCTTTTTGAAAAATTCCATGAGCATTTATTGTGCACCTAATATTTGCTATTAGATAGTGTAGTTGTTACGAATCGGGCTGTGAACCGCAAGGTCAGCAGTTCAAAACTACCAGCTGATCTGCAGGAGAAAAATGAGGCTTTCTGCTCCTGTAAAGATTTACAGCCTTGGAAACCCTGTACAGGGTCGCTATGAGTCGAAACTGACTCCACGGCACGTAACAACAACAACAACGTTTGCCAGGAGTGGCAGCGTGGTGCTGCAGGATAAGCACTGGACTGGTAACCACAAGATCAGCAGTTCGAACTCACCAGCTGCTCCTTGGAAACCCTAAACATGCTTGCTATGAGTTGAAAATGACTCCACAGCACTTAGTAACAACAGCAAAGTGTTTGTCGGGACCTGAACCACAGAGACCAAAGACTCCTCCAGTTTCTCTTCATAGTCCTTCCTCCACATGCCAGTCAAGCCACTTCCTGGGCAAGGGTCACACTGCTGGGGCCCAGCGCTGTTCACCCGGTACCCCTGTCAGAATTTCCACCCATCCTGACCATGTGGTTCTCCCAGGCCCCAGGCTGCTCCACCCTTCCAGACCTCCCTAGAATATCCTCCCCTTTCCACCCTGACTGCTGCCTAGGCTTCTGAATTCCACCGTGGGAGGTCCTTCCCAGCCTCTCATCTTTCCTTCTCTCCGGTGACTGATTGGTCTTGACCATGGAGCAGGAATTAACGGCCTTGCCTCGGGGCAGAGCTCCAGACAGCTCTGCTGTCAGTGAGTACAGGTGGAATGGAATTAAGCCAATTTGAATTGATACCTTTCTGATGCCACTTCCTTCAGGAAGTCCTCAATGATACATCACTCAGTGTCAGGCTGTAGGTGCCCTAACGCTTCAGAGTGACTCCCGAGTCGCCCCTCCTGAGAAAGCCTGCCCCCAGATCTGCAAAGTGGGCAGCTTGGAGTTTTTCACTTTGTGCATGTTTGCCTGGGTATCTCTCAGTCCCTCAAACAGTCCTGCTCCCTCCTGTCTGGAAAGCTCTGGTAACATCCATCCATCCCTGACATCCCACCGTCCTGTCTCCTCATTCCTCCAATCCCAGCTCAGCATCACCTCCTCCAGGAAGCCTTCCTGACCTCTAGGCCAAAGTTCCAAGTCCACACTTCTTGTTGAACCCAGTGCCCCAGAGTGGGAGCTCAAGACCTCAGGGACCAAGTGTGCTTTCAGTATAACTCCTGGTATGCATTGGTGGTGGTGGCTGTGTGCCATGGAGTTGATTCCAACTCATAACGACCTTGTACAGGGTTTCCGAAGCTATAAATCTTTACGGGAGCAGAAAGCCCCATCTTTCTACCATGAAACAGCTGGTAGTTTCAAACTGCTGACCTTAAGGTTTGCAGCCCGATTCATAACCACTATGCTACCAGTGCTCAATATCACTCGATGTGGAATCGCAGGGAGAAGGTGCTGTCCAGGGAGGCAAAGGCTGGGCCTGAGGGATGACTATGTTGTCTTTGGAATCCTTGGGTTGTGCAAACAGTTAACAGGATCAGCTAAAAAAAGGCTGCAGAACCGAGTCCATCCAGAAGTACATCAGAAGAAAGGCCTGGTGATCTACGTACTGAAAAAACAGCCATGGAAAACCCTGTGGAGCACAGTCCTACTCTGACACACATGGGGTGTCCATGAGTTGGAACCAACTCACTCTGTTGGGAGATGTTGAGAAACTGAGCAATCTTTACGTTCAATGCTCAAAAGAGTTCCAGGATTATCTCTCAGAGCCCAAGGGAGGAATAAACTCCCAAGGGTCCCCTTATATCAGAAGTCCCCTCACAGGGAGCGAGGGCCGAAGAAGTCTTACAGCACACACCATCGTGGCCAGCCCTTGCCCCATTCCTCCAGATGAGAAAAGTGAGGCTAACAGACAGGAAGAGACTCGCCCAAGATTTCACAGTCAGTTGGTAGCATGAAAAGGACTAGATCCTGTTACTCAATTCAGAAAAAGCCCGAGTGATAAGTATCTCTGCTATTTTGTGGCTAGAAATTCGGTGGAACTTGAGCCGGGACATGGTGAGAGGGAGGGGGCGCTGACCCCTGAGTCATGGGAAGAGCAGGGAACAGCCGAGGGCGCCCAGCCTTGCGCCAGACCCTTCACACATAGACCATTCAATAGGCTCAGGGAGCAGATTCTATCCTTACTTATCCCCCTTTCTTGTTGTTGGTAGATATTAACAGGATTCCAGATCATGGTGATCCTACAGTGCGTAGAGTAAAAGAACTGCTTCATAACGTTTGGAAAGCAGATAGCCTGAATGTCTTCTGAGGTGCCATTGGGTGGGTGTGAACCACCAACCTTTCAGTTCTTAACCATTTGCATCAACCCTGTCCCTATTTACATACAAGGGAGCTGAGACTCAGGGACCTGCCCAAAGTTGGCACCCAGAGGCTGAGATTCCAGGGCTGTGAGCCCAGATGGGTGCTGATACGATCTCCATCCCAACAGACATGGCCCTGGGAATGTCATGGGTAGGTGGAAGCAGGTAGAGGGGGCCTCTCCTGATCTGGACCCCAGCCCACCCTTCAGGAGGGAGGATGGTTCAGCTCCTGTGGCTGGAGCTCAGGGACCACAGGGTATGTGTGGCTGGCAGCTTAGGGGTAGGGGAGAAGTAACCAGGCCAGGCAGATCAGGAACCACAGCAAGAGTTTGATCTTAGTCCTCAGGGCAATGGGAGCCATGGAGGAATTTAAGCAGACATCTTAGCAGAAGGTTTGCATTAGGAAGGGCTTCTACCTGCAGTGGTGGCTCAGAGGTAGAGTCTTGCCTTCCATGAGGGAGACCCAGGTTCAATTCCCAGAAAATGCACCTCATGTACAATCACTGTCAGTGTGTTAATGGAGACTTGTGTGTTGCTAGGATGCTCAACAGGTTTCAACCAACCTTCCAAAATAAGATGGAGCAGGAAGAAAGGTCTGGTGTTCTATTTCTGGAAATCCATCAGTGAGAACTCTATGGGTCACAATGCTCCGAACCTGCTGTGTCTGAAGTTGCCATGAGTCTGGGGCCAACTTGACAACCGTTAACAACACTCCCTGGCAGTGGGTGGAGAAGTTTCTGAAGAAGGGGAAAAGGAGAAGCTGGGAGACTGGTGGGCTCTTACATCATCGTTGGATGAGAAATGAGGGCAACCGGAAGTATCGGGGTGGGGTGGGAGGGAATAGGATACTGAACAGGAAGGGGGCAGGCAGTCCACAACACAACCAGGGCATAACGCATGCCCTGTGTCAGGAGCCTGGGATGGCAGCTTGGCAGGGCCCCTGCAACATCCAGCTAGAAAAGCCTGACCTTCATCCTGCCTGTGGAGTTCAGGCTGGACTTACCAGCTGAGTGAAAAAAAGGTCACATGTGAAGGTGAAAATCAAGTGCAGGACCATTTGCCCTAAATGAGCAGTTGTAGCTCTTCCTTCCCCTACAGACCAGAAAGCAGAGCCCTGGTGGAGGGTACACGGCACACTTGGTACCTTCTCAGGCAGGTCAGGGCAGCCCGACCGTTATTGGGCAGTAGTCTAGAAGTGGGCACAGCCAGAGAGAACTGAACAAGGGCCCTGTCATCACAGAACCTCCACTGTAATGGAGCACAGTGGCTGAGCAACCAGATGAGTCAGATCCTGTCAGGTTATGAAGAAAGTGGAATTCAGTGGTGGGCGGAGAGGGACTGGGTCCCTCTGAGGGACTGAGGGCTGCTTTTGACAGGGGGTCAGGGAGTTGGTATCTGTGCAGAGAACAGAATGATAGGAAAGAATCCTGCCGTTAAATAATGGGGCAGCGGGTCTGAACTGGAGTGGGCCATGGTAAGCAGTGAGTGGGGTTTGCTGAGGGTGGGAGAAGGGTGCAGCCTGTCATTTAGAGCCTTGAATGCCAGGATAGGAGGTAAATTTTAAAACTGAAAGGAACTACAGGAGGGTTTTGACTAGGGTGTGGCTCAGTCTTATTTTCAGAGTCCCTAAAATTATACCTGGAGTCTAATATGGTGCATAGTATAAGCACTGGACTATTAACCTCGAGGTCTGTAGTTCAAACCCACCAGTTGCTCCTTGAAAACCCTGTACTTAGTCTCTCTGAGTCAGAACCCACTAGATGGTATTTAACAACAGCAAATTTACCTGTTGTGGCTCTGAGGATAAGAACTGGACTGCTAACTACAAGGTTGCTGGTTCAAATTCACCAGTCGCTCCTCAGAAACCCTATCTTGGGTCGCTGAGTTGAACCTACTGGAAAACACTTAGCAACAACAACAATAAATTATACCTGGGAAGGGCTGTTGTTGTTGTTGTTAAGTGCCGTCGAGTCGGTTCCGACCCATAGCAA